TTTTTGAATAGTAATATGATGGGAAATGTGTGGTTGAAAAAGAATAAAAAATTATTGATGTGATGGAAAATATTATTTTATTGAAGAATGTGTGGTTGAAAATGAGAATTGATTTACTGTAAAAAATGAGAATCCCTACCAGACATGCCCCAAAAACAAAAAATTCTACTTTTACTATTTCAAAATTCATTTTCTTACTTTAACGATGGACAAAAATGTGCTTTGATTTTTATTTTTTTTTGGTCAAACATGCACAAAGTCTATTGTCATGCAATCGACCATTTCTACTTCTCCAATGAAAGCAACCCTCAACAAAATCTAGACTGCCAAAACTTTCCCCATGACTTTATAAATTTTAATCTTTGATTTTTCTAATTACGACTTTTATTTTCATGTCACTTCATTTTGAGTTTGGATATAAATTAATCATATTTAAATTTTAAATTATTTAATGTATAGGCATATTATGAAAAATAAAAGAACAACTTATATTTTCAATTATATTAATTACATTTTTTTAATTTGTATGAAAATAGAAACAAATCTATATTTATGTGACGAAGAAAATAATATTAAACATATGATTTAGCATGGTGAAGTGGTTTATTTTTCCGACCGTTAAACTTTAGGAGGCTCATGATTTCCACTATGCCATGCATGCATAATTTGCTACATTTGACTATCAATATTTTATTGTTTAGCAAAATTGTTCAGATATAGAGAGTTCCAGAATACAACATCAGACAGCTGGAAGGAACGGAGGTACTGTTAAATGTTAGATCGGACGACGTTTCCATAAAGTAAGGGATCGTTAGTCATTTATGTAGGAAAATTGTTTCAATATTGGATATCGGAATCGCAGTAGCAGATTCAATAACTTTGAATACAATAGATTCAAATATACACAACAGATTTAATACAGTAACAGATTCGACAATATGTTAAATTGTAGTAAAGTGTAACAGTTAATTTAAGTAGAACTGCAAACGCAAATTTGCATAAACGAGTGACAAGCAAATAATCGCAGAAATTAAATGACAGGAAACTTTTAACCCGATGCTTGTGTTCCACACAGTTTCCTTAAAACAGATTAACTCCCTCACCGTCTGTGCTTGAGGTTTAACAGAGCGTCCGTTTTCCAGGATACAACCTGGAAATAGTATAATCTGAGCACCACAGATTGTACTCCGACGAACTGAACCAGTGCCCGAACAATATCACCAAACCAAACAGGAACAGAAAGTAAAAACGAAGGCAGACTCAAATGTGTCCAGATGAATATGCAGATGATTTTTCGTGTACTGAACGTGGAAAACCGATGCACAATAATATAGACTGGCTTGTAACCTGCTCATTCAATTCATAGCAATTACAACAGGAGTTTTGGGGTTTCAACAGTTTTGGAAAACCAAAAGTCTATTAAAAAAATTAAAAAATGTAGCAAAACGTGGACACTCCTAAGGGGCCAATTTTGCTCCTTTCGGTCCAACATTCGTGTACGCAGGTTGCGCTCGCACACAAGTTCAAGATCCGACGCCAATTTCGGTCCAAGATTTGCACCCTCCCTGCGCGCGCACGTGGAGAGTCTCTATACTACATATGATTACACAATTCTAAAGTGCAATCCTTTATAAAGTGGTTTTAACTTTCATTCACTTCTTATGTGGGACAAAGCTTAAATATTTATTTTCCTACCAACAAACTCCTTTTACATGGCATACTTTGAACTTCAATTTCTCATTCCCCCGAGCATCATTTTTGACAAGTAAGTATATGATTTCGATATACTCACGGAAGAGAACACAAATCAATTTTCATCTCCCAAAATAGCCAAGCGGGTCCCGCTCAAAATTAGTGTCAAAGTCAGCTATTTAACTTAGTTTATCCAGTTTTTCCAACAATTTCAAGAACTATCGGATCAATGTGGGATCTCACTTTCGAGAAGCAATTGATAACCTAACGACTAATACTCTAGGAAGTTCCACCAAATCACACGAGTCGCCTACTACTTCTTCATCAACCAAATTGATGAGTAAGGGGACAAAAAAAAATTGAGAGTGATATGGATTTTACACAGATTATGAGTACAATATAATGCTCATCTTTTATATTCTCGTTGCATACATAACAGTACGAAGGAATTCGATGATCTTCCAACTAGTTTAAACTATAAGGGGTTGTTCTCTTCATATTTCAATTTTGAGTTTTGAATTCATTTTCAATTATATGTTTTGAGTGTCTGTTTTGAAATTCCTAAAAATACGTTCGTCTTGTCATTCTGAAAAACTGGTTCTCAAAACAAAAAACTGGAAAACGTGTTTATTTTGAAATTTATAGAATCTATTTTTTATAAGTAGTCTTTGTCGTGCAGTGCACGACTGAAAGTTTCTTTAAGATAATGTTGGTGTATTAGATGTGTTGGATTTTCGTGTAACAAACATCTTCACTATGACTACAGTGGAAGAAATTTTTTTCTGAATATGCAAAGATTTCCAGAACATAAAAAGGTCATTTATATGTTGAATAAGGACAATAAAAGTTATTGGAAGAAATTAAGATGAACTAACGTTGATAGGACATAAAATTAAGATAAACAAATATATGGAAACATTTTAATCAGTACTGAAATGGAAAGAACTCAAAAACTGATAAAATGATAGATAACAACAAATACTGGATCAAAATGGGTTTAATTCACTGATAGTTTGCCAGGTACGCTAAATAGGTTGGGGTGCGGGGGCAACGTCCCGCAGTACGGTACATGTGTATTTTCTTGTATGGCCTTAAAGTCTTGTACGAGTTTGGACATAGACTAACAACTCAAGAACCTTCCACGTAGCACGGACTAATCTCCGAGCGGCACAAAGATGCACGGAGAGCTCCGTGTAGTACTCTCCGCGCTACGCGAAGCTCTCTCCGGATGCTGCGCGGAGAGAAGTTTGAGATGAGTGTCCAGCGGACGAATGGATCGTGAAATGGTCTTTCTGAAGGCCTAAACGCTTTTGGTAGTTGAATGTTTAAATGGTATTTTGAAACATAGTTATGTCAATAACAAAACAGATATAAAAAATATTTAAAGCAACATTTTCAACTCAGAAATGTGACTTCATGAAACATACAGAAGAAGTGTACAATGGTGCTTCTAGCCTCCATAGGTACATGTTGAAATCTCATGTTCAAAATAGATGTCCAGAAAAG